CTTTAGTAGCATATGTCCTCTAAGTCTCTTAATCCCGCTCTCTCTTCCACTCTATCGGACTTTGAAAACATTCAACTAAAAGAAGGGATTGGGAGAGGGGATAAAGGGATTAGGCGAAGGGGAAGTTATTGCTAATGATGGTATTCATATCGCTGAGTTGGAACACGAAGCAAGCCAAGCTTTTGGATTAAGTGAAGGCGTGAGGTATCGAACACAAGCTAAGGGTTAGTAAAGTGGCTCAGGTATAGAAAGTTACCTACTACAAAGAGTACCATAGCAATGAAGAGGTAGAGATCGTCTATGGATAAGGTTGAGCTAAGCGAGGTAGACTTTACAGACTCTGGATGATCCTATGCTTAATACATTCTCCAATTCAAGTGAGATGTCGAAGGCAAAGTACTTTAAGAAGGGAAGAGCTTGGCCTATAATGAGAAAGGGATAGAGATGATGGTATGAATGCATACATCAACAGAAGTTTAATCCTCGGATTCCCACCTACCCACCTCAGACTTATTCATCATCGTTCTGGTACTGGTCGGCCTAATGCTTTTCCCTCTCCTATCAAGGAATAGGCATAAGTAACTTGCTCAAAGTAGAATGTCATATGAGAAGATAATTTCAGAATCCTCTCGTTGATGCATTGCTTAGCTAATTTAGTCTCTGTTCTCATTTCTGCTCTGGTTGAATGGAAGGGAGGTAGGCCTTATTTAGGAGTGTACCGATGTTAACGATGGTGGTGATGGTGACCAACAAAGGCATGCTTTATTCCCCCAATCGATAGCCTATGGCTTAAATAAGATTCTCAAATCAAATGAGAGAAGAGCCATAGTAAGTGGTCAGCATAGAATGAGCCTTCTTTCTTCCTACCTTTAGCATTACCATTCTCTCATCGATTACTGCAAACTCTACCCTTATCAGTCAACTTCTAGCTAGTGAATCTTACCTACTATTCTATTTTTGTGAAGGGAATGCTCTAGCCTCTCTGCAAACCTGCACAGTCCCGGGTCTCTCAATCTTCCAATCCAGCCTCCTTTCTAGATATAGACCTGAGTGGCCTTTGTCCCTCTTATTAAATTAATTACTAGGCTTGGTCTAGCCAGCTTTCCCTTCAAAGGTAGCTATGGAGGAGGGTTGACGAAGGAAGTAGATAGTGAATTGGAAGTAGGATTACTAAGTACTTCAATAGTAGAGTTATGGCTTTAATCATGGTAGGATCTTGATCTGGAGATAGGTAATAGGAAGAAGGATGTTGATCTGGCTAAAGAATGAATCTTTCATTTTCTAAGGAATAGATAAGAAGGACTAGGGGGGCCTTATTTAGGTAGGAAGAGGCTGAGGATGAGGCGGTAGACACAAAACGACTCAAAGAATTACATAGAAAAGAACCAGGCCACTGGAGTTGAAATTGAAAAGAAAAGGGCAGTGGGAAAGGATCCAAGAGGAAGTAGGTTTGCGGTGAGCCCCGCCCAGTGGAGACGACCAAGGTCTGGTAGTGTCGGTTCTTTGAAATGCCGAGGTGATCCATTCTGACTAAGTGACGAAAGCTTGAACTCGAGTGAAATCTTGTCTGAGTTCAGAAAGAAGTGGAACGATAAAGCGTACTTTTCATTCCGGGAGGAATCGTTTAGTAGGGTTCAGATTGAACTTGAAATGTAAATGTTTCAGGTAGGGCTAGAGAGTAAAGAAAAACCAAGGTTGCTCTTGTGGTTAACCCTGGGCCTGACTAAATAAGGAAATGTTGGGGATGATTCTAACAGGTGTTGCTCTGATCTAACGCGAAAAAGAGGACCAACAGAGACTGCTGCTGTTGGATGTGGGTCGGGTTTATAAGAAATAGATTGAAAGTCAGGCGGGAAGTACAAGGTAGAGCTCGACCAGGTACGATACAAAAGAAATTGGTCAAGAGCCGTCTCGTGAAGATTGGTGTCAGAGTTAAGATGAGAGGATTGGGTTCGGTTTCAGTGAGATGTGTTCTCCGTAAGTTTCCGCGTCAAGGAACAGACAAGCACTTAGGTAATAATCTCTTTCTCCATCAATAGAAAATGTGTCATGAAATTTTAGAGGTCATGGAATGTCTTTCTTTCTTAAATCTTAATATAGCCACTTAATATAATAATTTCTTTAAATATCCTGTCACCGGTTATGTTCGTTGCCTATCTGTTTTTTTATTTGATTGGTTTTAATCCCGACCTAATTATTCTTAAACTAAAAGGTTATTTTATCCTCCACAGGTTACGTGCTATTTTTCGGCTCTTTAGTTTGGAGATTCCCTCGTTCTTGTTAGCTTGCTTGTAAAGGGGCATGTACAGACTGTTGCAAGACTCTTTCGCCAATCCTACCGGTCCGATGTGGTTCTTGCAGTTATGGCTTCCTGCTGACTTCCCCTCGGTCGTTTGTTTACAAATAGAATAGGGAAGAAGCATCGAATCGAATGCTGCTATTGAATGCGCTGTTGTTGCTGAGTGAATAAGCGGTCTTGTCGTATCCGCTGTGAGCCTATATGCTGTATGAAAGCTAACTGAATGCGTATCCATCTGCTCAAAGATGAAAATAGTAAAAGTCAAGATCTTATAGAAATGCCAAAAACATATTTTTTTATTCTCCGATCGGCTCACCAAACACCAACCAAGTCGTAACCATATTACTTTATTTCTAAATGGCAGCATCAGTGTCGGCAAAAGCGGTAAAACCGTCGATCAAATGGGGGGATGACCTAACCTAGTGACAGTTTAACGTAATAAAATAATAAGAATAAGAAAGAAAAATTATAAAATTCCTTCTGCGTCTGATGATGCATATGTCGTGCCTGATTATGCGTATGCTTGTGCGGCTATTTCGATTTCACTCGTTGAAGAATGTCTTTACTTTGCAAAACTTGTATCTGGCGGGTTGGGTTACTAAACTAAAAAAAAGTTATAAGGCCCGCCTTAGGGCTTTGAAAAAAGGCTTCGTACCATCAAGAATATATAGATAGATATATTGACTCGCGGTTAGGTTAGTAGTATGCGACAAGCAGACCAAACGCCTCCCTTGGCCTCCCGACTGTAAGTCATCCAGAAAAGAGACTTGCTATTTCCCCACCTAGGATCCCCAATAAAATAGCTTTCATAAAGTTAAAGATCATATTGTTACAGAAGACCAGATCGAGGGATGAAATCTACTCTACCGAACAATCAAAGGCTTAAACCCTGGTCGAAGTGAAGCGCATGCGATGAGGGAAGAGAGAGACCACCAATGCAAGTGGATCGACTTAAGCATCGATTTCAAAGGCGACAACATTAAGCATGAAAATAGAGCCTGCCACTTTTTCTCGTTAATAATGTTACAATCAACAACGAGAAAATAAGCTCTTGGATGCATGCCCCTATCTCCCACCCATCGTCCTGATCTTTGCTTGAAGTATCCAAGTAGCGCTAAAACGAAAAAGCGAACTATTGGAATTCTTGTCTTGGGCTTAGCCCTCTTTTACACCAACTCAATAACAAGCGCCGAACAAGGATGAAATAAATAACATTACTAATCAAAATTTATTCATTCAACCATTCATATTACGTTACGACAATCCTACACGTCGTCCATGCAAGCAGGATACCGCGGTCAATGATGTAAACAGACCTAGCATCATGCCATCAGAGCTCAATTAAAGCAGGAATCGGCCAGTATCGAGCAGTCGCAATTCCTTGGGCGCTTCGTGGCCCCGTTAGCTGTTAGCTGGCTAATAAAGACTTACGTAAAGAGGCATTCCGAGCCTGGAATGTGGATGAATAAGAAACCTTTTAATATCACCGGATAGCAGAAATATTTTTTGTTCGCTTGGCTAATATAAGGGAAATGGACGCTTGTTGAGATGGCTTGTAAATATGTCAGAATATCTCTTTGGCCTGCGGTCGGGAGCTTGAGAGTTATATGCCTTGACCAGTCAGACTGTGGATTATTGGCATCTATCAAATCTTGTCATCCCGCTTCTCTATAAAGGAAAAAAGGGAGGAATCCTGTCCGCCTATACGTATTATTCTGACCAATATGGTCAGATCCTTTTTTGAGAAAAAATCTCCAGACTAACGTTGCTGACGAGATTGATTAGTGCCGCACTTTGACACCTTAACTGCTTCCCGATACGGAAATAGCTGCCCCATAGAAGATAAGCTTTATTTAACGTAGCTTAATTTACTGTCAGCTCAATTTAAATAGTTTTTTCTATGTTCGCAGGCAAGTGAGACGATCCATAAATGCCCTTATCTGCTTCGAAAGAACCGGTGTCATCCAAACATGGTGAAGAGGTGGCAACTGGATCAATAATAGCTGAAACTTCTACTGTACAGGGTTCGGCTTGCCCAACTGTCCAAGCTCAAGGGAGATCTATTTTTTAATATAGAAAGCAGACTCAAGGTGCGAAGTAGCTTTCATCATGAGGAGTCATAGGGCGAAAGGAGTAGAAAGATCTTAATTCCTACAAAGAGGAAGGGGTCGAATGCTATAGGTAATGCATATGATATGGAGGGAGAAAGCCTTTAGCTTTTCTTCAGCTTTTCTGTGTCGGCTAAATTTCATTTCTACTTGAAGGCACCTCTATTATAATAACCGCCTGCCTAGCAACATCTTTTATGGGTAAGTGACTCTCAAATTCCGGAGAAAGAGCCCCACCCCAATTCGGATTCGAACCGATGTTGCCTATTTCTTAGGGCTTCAAGAGCGTGACTCTTCTTTATTTATATAAACCATTTTTAAGTCTAGTTTTCCATAAGGCATGCAAGCGAGGCCTATATGGAAGAAAGAAGTCAAGTTGGACAAAAGAGAGAAAGCACTCGCGGCACACTGACTATATCGACAAATAAAAGTAGTGGTCATGAATATACACCGGCGCTGCCTACGCGGTCTTGGGAAATGGTTGCTTGTCAATCAACATCCGTTTTCCCTTATCGGGAAACATCAATCTTGTCCTGTATTGCACAGCGAAAGGCTACGCAGTCAGCTGTGGCGTGACTATTACTGGCATGAAACTAGCATATGGGTTTCTGTCCCTTTAGTGCGTCTAACTGGACTTGATGCCCTGGGGACCCAACTAACCCTACTTTTTCCAAGCAATCATAGATCTCATCGGCCTTTGAGACATCGTACGTGAAGTCACGTGGCCGATTGCCAAATTTGCCTGCAGTCCGCTCCATACCAGGCTTGTTTAGCATGGCAGCCTTATTGGGTGGGGCTTTGCGTAGAGCAAGGCAAACAACTGGCTTAGTGATCTTGATCTCCGCCACCATTGCATCAAGTATGACTTTTCGCAGCAAGCGCTCATGGCGAGTGACCTTGATAGCCAAGTCACAGAGATCATTGAATTGCTGGAGCGCAGTGTAGTTTTATTCGTTGGGCTCAAGGTTCGTGATCAAGACCGATAACGTGGCTACGAGCTCTTTCCTTACTCAGAAGAGAGCCCAACCACATGCGGGCACGGTGGCAAGACTTTCTGGTGGGGTTCGACATGGTCCTCGAGTACAAGCCCGGGAGGACCAATCAAGTTGCCGACGCACTAAGTCGAAAGGCCGAGTTGGCATCCAACAAGTTAGAAGAGATAGCGGACATGAGCCAACTCAAAGGGGACATCCCCGAACGCATAAGAGAGGGGTTGGAAAAGGACCCCGTAGCCCAGACCCTGCTGAAAAACGTGAGAAGCTTCAGTTAGAAGTTTCGCTCGAGTAGAACGGTTGTTGGTGCTCTATTTCATATCCTCCTCCTGTTGGTTGGTGAGTTACCTCTTCCCTTCCTTTCCATTTAATCTCTGACAAAACCTACCTTTCAAACAACAAGAGGACCCCTATAAAGCCCCTAGTTGCCATAAGGAAGCTCTTTGTTATGAAGAAGCCACAAATAAATAAGAGGAAAATTAGGGTCTCAAGCATATAGGGGTTGGCTACGGGCGGCACCCTATAGCTATAACATTATGCGTGTGTAGATCCTTGACAACACAAAGGAAGTTGGAATAAAGATGGCATAGCTTTGACGGTCATCGCAAAGGTGTCCTACCAATATCATTTTTTTTAGAGATGAGACAAATGCAGCCGGATTGCTCGTCATATGATGGGTAGCCCCACTACAACATGGGTGGTATAGTCTTTTCCTTATTGTGTGGAAGATTCGAGTTTGGAATGGCCGCCGAGGTTTCATGGTGTAAGAATGGACTTAATTCACCTGAGAGAGTTGTGCTTTTATTTTTTAAACTTGGGTCAGTGGTGAGAAGGCCGAGAAAGTGGTTAAAACCGTCATCGCATCGGTTGGAACCTCAAGGTGGGATTTTTGTCCTGTGGAAGAGAAAAGATATATCAGTGGATGTCCTTCAGGATGACTCTCAGTTCGTTCATATGAAGGTAGTTCAGGAGAAGAAGAGCGAGTTCTTATTGATTGCTCTCTATGCGAAACCTATGGAGAGTCTGAAAGCCTGGCTCTGGAAGCAAGTTCTTCAGATGTGGGAAGTTTAAAGATTGAAAGAAAAATCATTGATCTTGGGTACCTAGGCTCTCAGTTTACATGGCGAGGCAAAAGTCTCCAGGGTTCAGTCGTGTGTATTAGAGCTTAGATAGAGCTCTGTTTAAGATGGAATGTCATTTTTCCCGGAAGCTGGTGTCTGGAATCTGCCTCCAGTCAAATCCGATCACCACCCTCTTTCTTCTTTTTGACCTACAAAGTGACCTCAACCAGAATTCCAAAGACCTTTGTTCTTTGAAGCGGCTTGGTTGATTCATACTCATAAAGAAAGGCTTGCTTATACGTCTTTCTAGCGTACACGCGCTTCCACATGTGATATTATCACTGCAAGCAGAAGTAGAGAAGTATATGTGATTGGGGAGGAGGATCAGGTACGAATGAAAGCCAGTGGTGATTCGTGACTATGAACAGCCGGAGAGGGCATCCATTTCTTTCTTCTTATGTTCCTCAGAAAGAGTTACTGAAAAAGTACCTGCTCCATTTCAGTATACTAATAGACATGCGGCCATGTAAAGATGATTCTCAGATAGTGACGGCATGGAAGATCCAGTGCTTGTCCCTTCGCCGAAGTACCTGTACAGTCATTCCGACAAGCTACTATCAATGAGACATCCCTTAGTCTTAGTCCAATAGCTAACTTGGCTGGAGTAAGCGGAATCGCCAGGAGCGGAAGATGCTCTACTTCCGAGGAAGTAGAAAGACAGAGGAAAGGCAGTGAAGGTTACCCAGGGTTTGCGTAGAGAAAGGATAATGGAAGTGGTAAGGCAATGGGAACACCAAGTCAAAAGACCCTTTGGGATGGTTTCAAACCTCGATTCTCTTTAGTGAAACCTTAGCTCGTGTTATCATAAAAGTGCCAAGTCACTTGATCCAAAAGAAGGTGAATGATAAAAAGAAAAGATAGTTGACTTCCATTCCAAACTTCAACCTCTATGAGGCTTTGTGGTGCTGGGCTGGAGATAGGGGGTCCTCTTATAATATAATCCGTAGCATTTAAGGCTTAATCACTCCGTATAGACACACCTAGACTACGAAGCTAGGGTAAGGAATCTTCTCACGCAGAAGCAGAAGGAAAGGAATTATTAGCATTGAAGCTGAGGGGCTTAAAAGTACGGTAGTCTATGTTAGTAGCGATTTTCCTGTCAGAGTAAAGAGAATGGCAGGTCTTGAGTGATAGGTCATACCCTTGAGGACCAGATTAACCCTCCTTTTCTATCTTTTTAGTTAAATATCGAACCTTTACTATAAGGATAGTAAATATAGTAAAAGATATCCCCAGTACCTTACGAAAGAAAAACTCTCCATACTCAAGCTCAGACCTAAGGCAATTCCTTGGAGCCGAGCTAGCATTCACACTGGATTCCCTTCTTTCAAGTGCCAAGGGAAAGGCATAATCTATAGGGAGGGCCAAAAGAGACGTTCGTCTAGCAAATAGAGTTGATTAAAATATTATTATTTTAACTATATTTTCATTTAAATGATATTGAGAATTGTCCAGGTCAGTTACCATTAAGACCAAGCGCCTTGCTTGATGGCATCATGAGGAGTACGATGGAAAGGCCTAAGCTATACGACTTAGCTCCCAAATAGTATAGGAATTAGAAGCCGTGTTCCTGACACCAAGAGAGAGACTTCCCTTGACAACAAAATAATAGCATCCGGGGGGTGGTAAAATCTCTATAGTCCACATCTGCAAGAACATGAGAATCTATCTCAACGGGAAAGTCTATATCTTCTCGCATTCTAAACAAAAGTTACGGTACCAACGATTACGTTTGTATCCTGATCCTACTCTTTCATTCAAACCTAAGATCATGAATCTCCTGAGCCCATTCACAAGAACCTAGGCAAATAGGCCCAAAAGAGGCTTTTTTCCGGCACACTTGAAATGTCCGTCTCCGAGGGGTTGATACCAATTTTATCGAGAGTGGCAGAATTACAATTCAAGTTTACGAGGGAAAGGTGCGATTCATCAACAAAGGGATAGGGATAAGGATACGCAGGAGAGAGTGTTTAAAACATCAGTCATTGAATAGGTTACTCGGGATCATTTTCCTAGACGAGCGAGGACAAGAGCATGACTGCGAGTGGATCCGCTAGCTTCCTTTCCCTGTCTTGTGGCGGGCTAATAACTAATAAATGGAGGAGTTGTTTCCAGGCTATCGAGCGGACCACCATTCTAGTGGGTCATGATGTCCCGTGGGGATAATATCCTAATCTTCATCAGTAAATGGCATAAGTCAATTGTTACGAAAGAATGAAATTTCACTCGATATGTCTTTGACAAAGAAGCCTGCTGTCGTTGACCTTTCCCCGAGCTTTCATATAAGGATATTGAAGTGAATGGACCCTTCTAGATTGCATAGCCAGTGGGAGGGAACCCTACATAGATAGGAAAGCCTAACAAATCAAATTGTTGGGTTTGGGGAAAATCAAGCAGGGGAAGAATTTCCCATAGGAGAAAATCTCTCCTTCTTGATCTCTCTCTGGAACAAATATTCCCGAGGATAAGACCCCCACAGGAGGTGGGTGCTCTAAACGATCGTCATATGTCATATGTTTGAATTAGTCAATCCGCTAAGAAAGCTAGCTTCAGCTGCTGTCGGTATTGTTGCGTATAAATCTTTCCCACTCTGTCTTATACTGACCTTCTAAGACATGCCTTCTTAGGGATTGGTCTTCCCCTAAGACTCGTAGACTAAAGCACTTATTTTGAGAGCGTAGTTAAATACGGCGGAATTATTATTAAGATAAGTAGGAAAGCAAGAGTGAAGAGTGGACGTTCACCACATAACTGAAAGCATAGTCACAAGGGCAAGCGAACCACATAGACCATTTCACAAGAGCTGAGCTGAAAGAAGATTTCTTTTTATTACTCTAGGGCCTTTGGAAAAAGAGTAAGAACAGATAGTCATCGCCTTTCCCTTTCGACTGGCATTATCACACCGCCATAAACAAATTCAATAGCTGCTCCTAGCCCGATTCCAAGACCTGGACCTGTTTCAGGTTTGAAAGCAGCCCTTATTCCATTCATTCCATCAACAGCTCAATCGATGGGACTTGCTTTCCTTCCTAAAGGAAGTTACCCGGAGCCGGTAGAAATGACTGACTTAAGATAGAGAGATATCACCCCTAACAGAGTCCATTCTCCGAATAGTAAGACGGTAAATCCAACGATCTGATTCACTAGCAAAGTAAAGCAGCAGCCTTGATCAACTATAGAAAAGTACCAGTTTTACACAGTGACAAGGACTTCGCCCGAAAGCATTGATTGAAGGTCTCCTCTTTCTTTTTCACAGCTGCCCGTGAGTTCAGTCGTTAGTTAACATTCGACCTTTCCTGGAAACTTCCGAGAGGAGCGCTTTGTTTTCTTAGCGCCTTTTCTCCCGGTGGTAGTCGAATCCATAGAATTGGCTTAGTAGGATCGCTATTTCCTTTGCAGGTCCGTGCCAGTATGGTAGATAAAGTTAAAATAAGAATTGGAAGAGAAGTTCAAAGAAATTCTTTACCGAAAGAAGGGAATTGCTTTCCTCTTTCCCGACCTTGCTTTCACTAGTTAAACTACCGCAGGTTCTGGATCGATTGGATCAACTACAACTGGGATGAGATGAACAGAAGGGTGTAACACAATCCGCTTCATAACTGGAAGGCCGGACCGAAAGATTCACTGGTTCAACAAGCTCAATAGCCCCCAGCTTGTTCGTTTTACTCACCGTCAGCCTTACTACTCACTACTTCTTTGATTACCAGCTTTCTCTGACGCCCGTCCCCGCTCCTTTTATCATGACATTGAGATCTGTCTCCCTTCCTTCTCAATGCGATTCGATCCGGACCTTGATTGACATGCTGCAATTATCTCTTGAGTCACGCTATTTGGCACATAGGCATTCACTTTTGATCTGCCTATACGAACGAGCCATATCATTTGTTCTCTAGTGGGTGCCTCTTCTTCCTCTCTCCCACTGCTACCCGATCAGATGCACCTCTTATGCTTTTACTGGAGATGGAACTGTTGGATCACTTCGAAGACTGAGACCTGTTTGGAAAGGAAGCCCTACCAGCTCCAATTCCTCATCCCAATCTCAGAAGAAAGGTCCAATACCAGCAAGCTATAGGAAATATCATCGGTGGAAGATACAGCAAGGATTCTGAAGACGAATAACACAGTGAGGATGTCCATGCTCAGTTGCTTCTCTATCAGCTTCTTAACCGCGTGGTGCCTTTCCCTCTCATCCTCTTTTTGGCGTCCGAAGTAAGGGTGTTGCAATCCCTCTACTCGCTGTTTCCTGAATCTATCATTCTTGTTTTTAGTAAAGGCCTGTTTGATCGTTTCACTCGCTGCCAAGGAATGTTCCAGATCTGCAAACAGAACCGAAGGATACAGTCAAGGAATCTTCAACAAGACTTGTAAACATAATATTGTATCCGGATGAATGACAATCCCTTCTAGCCTTTACTTTCATCCCCGGTTGCAAAGGAAGAATCAGATGCACTTACCTCAGCTCTAGCCCCCGTGTTAAGCATTAAAATACCCGCTTTGTTGAGTTGTAAGAGCTTCCCTAGCCCCGCCCATGCTTCAAGGCCTGTTTTCAAGCTCATCACAAGACTAGGAACAATTTATATTGGATTGAGCGAGAGGAACCATTTTTTATATCTTCCCCAATTTAGCAGGCAGGATCGAAGGTGGTCGTTCCCTTCTCCTTTTGAGATATTTCAGAATATCTCCTACATATAGTACCTTTTGAGTGACCATTGGGATGATTGTTCCCGTTTCAAGTAGAACCGATTCCCTTCGCAGCCTCCGTGGGTGCCCGATCAAATCACCTGCTAGACAGGCCTCCAAGCTCGATCTCTATGTTTCTATGAGAGACTTTCCAATTTTAATTAGGTTAAAATTGAATTTTTTTTCACAATAAATAAAATTAACATAGAATTAGGGTTTTCTTGACAACTTTTAATTTCTTTTATTTTTATTTTCATTAAGACATTAAAAAACTAAAAAAAATACTTTTTTTCTTTTAATTATTTAATTAATTAGAATTAGGTTTAATATTAATTAATCACAAAAAGGACCAAAATTCCATTCTTTTCTCAAAAAGGGTCAAAACCCTAAGACTTTTCCCGATTCAATTTTGTTTCGCGCATGTTTATTCTTGATTAATTTTTTATCATATTTATGTATCTGCTCCGAGAATGTAATAGATAATTAGGACCTTTTACCGCTTTCTTTACTTTCCCGCAATTTATTTTCAAGGGTTATGTTTTTGGCGATGTAAATACCCGACGCCTTGTAATAGCGTAGATTCACTCACTTTCCACAATTTATTTTCCGCAATTATTAACTGTTAAATATGCATGCAAGACTTGTATGAAATTAAAATCAACCCGTAGCTCACCATAATACTTGTGCAAAGATAATCTTAACATGAAACCTGACACACATGCAGATGCCACTCCTAGGGTACGCCTCACTTGGTTGCCTCGAGGTGGTCATTAAGTATAGGGTATTTTAGAGGTCGCCCTCCTGTCTAAAGATCCAAGTTGCCTCGAAACGGTTGCCTCGGATAAAAAGGATCTAGGACATTAGGGTAACCGCTAAGGCGTCCTACTATTACTTTGGTGACCACATGTCCCTATAATCGAATTGACCCGAATAACTCCAACGACGGTGCTACCTACTTCTCAATAGTGGGATAGTACTGTCTAAAGGACATTTACACAACTTAATTTCTTTTGAGTAGGTAGATTTCTCCTGGGTACTTGCTATTTCAAAACAAAACAACTTTTCGCACCTACACTTTCAAACAAAAGTTTTCAAACAAATACTTCCTACACTCTTGAGGACTGATACAAGAGTTACCTAGAAGTTTTTCAAAACAAACTTTTTCAAAACCCACATACACAAGAAAAGCAAACATCTTTTGAAAACATAGTGAGCAAGTACCTAAGAGCCCGTGGATAACCACGGATAAAAAGGGTGCTAACACCTTCCCTTTCTATAATCTACCTCCCGAACCGAAAAACATCTCGAAAAGGAATTTTGCTGTGCTTTTGTCCTTTCCTTGTTGGAGAAAATAAAAGACGGTGGCGACTCTTGCTTACCGCGACATTTCGCGAACCAGCATTCCAAACAGTCAGTTCTATTTCCACCGATCACTGAACTGGCGACTCTGCTGGGAATAATCTTTATAAGTGAGGTGTACCTTAGGATTAGATCATTCCATGTTTTCAATTGTATGCTTTGTTTGCTTTAATATTGTAGGCTTGCATCAGAGTTTCATAGATCCTAAACCGGATTTGGGGGATACCTTTTTAGAAGTAGCAACAAACTGTGAGGGAACTGTGCGGGGTATACCGACATGGTTGAAGCAGTTGCTACGTTGATGTGGCACTTTGGTGAGTACCGGTAACCCTTGAGTCAAGTCAAGGAGAGTACGGGGCCTTCGCGTGGTGTCATGAAGCATCAACTGACCTAGAACCTTACTTGACCATCCTGGCCTTTTTAGGGGTAGTGAGATGACCGACTTTGGTGCAGTCCGAAGTTGGTAGATACTCGATACTACACTCATTTAGGGTTGTTTTCTTGGAATATTTTGGTCGCCAGTCAAGTGGCTAAATCAAAACAATGAACATAGAAAACAATCCAATGATATTGAGCTCCTTAGAACCCGGTTACTTTTGATAGGACATGTTTTGAGCCAACCAACTTCAAGAGGGTAGTACCTAAACTTCATGCTGGCCTAAACTCTAAGGGCTGTCTTGTGTGACTTGTGTGCTTTACCATGTTTGCCTTTTGTGAATACTTGTGGTGTGTCTTTATCATAACATCATAACATCATAAAGCATCATATGCATCTACTAACCACTTCAAGGGTTCGAATCTTCATCTTTGTTCTTGTTTTGTAGGACATGGAATCTCTCTGCAGAAAGACAATTCAGGTCAACCTTGTAAGGATACCTCCTCAACTCAAGGAACTCACATCCAGGATTCCCGAGAGCTCTTCCTTCGGTGACAGACATGGTAGACTACTCAGCTTGGTCAACACCAACATTGAAGAAGATATGATAAAAGTTCTTTTCCAGTTCTTTGACCCCTTACACCACTGTTTTACTTTCCCGGATTATCAATTGGTGCCTACTTTGGAAGAGTTTTCTCAGCTTCTGAAAATTCCTATCCTTAGTCAACTACCCTACAACGGTACGGAAAAGGAACCAAAACTTGAAGAGGTTGCTCAAGCTTTACGTCTGCAACCATCTGACATCAAGGGACATTGGGAAGTTAGAAGTGGTATCAAAGGATTCTTGGCAAAGTTCCTGTTTGAAAAGGCCCAAGAATGTTGGAATTCTCTCGACCTACAAGCTTTTGAAGAAGTGGTGGCACTCCTTGTCTATGGGTTGGTCTTGTTCCCAAATCCTGATCAACTTATAGACATAAATGCTGTCAAGATTTTTATGTCTAGGAATCCTATACCTACATTGCTTGGGGACATCCTCCACTCATTTTACACTCTAACAATGAGAAAAAGAGGTGTTCTCATATGCTGCACTCCTCTCCTGGCAAGGTGGTTTATTTCTCACCTTCCACAATCAGTTTTGAAGAACGAACAAGGTTTAAGGTGGTCGCAACGATTAATGACTCTTACATATTCTGATGTACATTGGTGTTCTCGGTCCAGAGAAAATGTCACTATCATTGATCGTTGCGGAGAATTTCCTAATGTTCCTTTACTTGGAATTAGAGGAGGCATCACTTACAACCCCTGTCTAGCTTTGAGGCAATTTGGATATGCTCGGAGGGATGGCCCTCATGACATGATGATTCCTGACATAGTTTTTGACTTCGACAACGATACGCAAGGACTTCGGCAGAGATTCATCAGAGCTTGGAGGATGCCTAACAAGGTGGATAGTAAGACCCTGGGGCACAAGAACTCCATCCCCCTTGAGCCTTACCTCAAGTGGGTACGAGCCCGCTCCCAGAAGCTTGTGATGCCATATCCTCATGTTCTCCCCGTGATCAAAGAGCCAGTTGTGGAAGGAGAGGTCTCGTATACCATTCAACATCCGGACATGCCAACATCTTGGGAAGAAATGCAAAAGAGATGGATCCAACTAAAGGAAGAGCGGAATTCTCTTGAAGCCAATCTACATGCCAGTGAGAAGAAGGTCTTGGAGCTCACCCGCCTACTTCACGAGGAAAAGACCCTCAACACCTACATCGCTCCAAAGAGGATGCGCAATGTATTTTGGCATTAAGTATTTTATAATATTTAGCCCATGAGGCATTGATGTACTAAACAATTTACTTCTTAACATAACGTGTGTTCCTTTTTGTTTACAACGAATTTGAATTTTCGAACCCTTGAATGCATTGCATAAATAGCATACCATGCATCATATGCATAACATGTACCCTTTTTACAGGTCACTTATCTTCTTCGCTGTTTATTTCAGAAATCATCATGACTTCTGAACCTACTAATGAACAAGCTATTAAGGCCCTCCAGGCCCAGAATGCCCAGTTCCAAGAGATGGTTATGAGCCTAGCCCAAGGTCAACAGGAGTTGAAGACTCTGCTTATGAAGAAGAAGAAGAAGAGGATTGTCTTGTTCAATACCGGACGTAGATATGGGAATGCACTGCAGAATGAGGTTGAACTAACTACCCCATCTGTAGGGAAAGGTAGTCCCCAAGAAGGAGGGGTTCCTAGTCCCGTGGTATCCGACAACGAGACAGATTATAATGATGAACAATATCCTCCTGCCGAGGATAGGTACAAACAGCTAGAGGACCATTTAAGTGCTATGGAGATTCAACATGTGCCTGGGTTGGATTTTGGAGATCTAGGTTTATCCTCTGGAGTGGTGATCCCACATAAGTTCAAGGCGCCTGCTTTTGCAAAATACGACGGAGCTTCCTGTCCTAAGCTGCACCTCCGATCGTATGTAAGGAAGATCCAACCTTATACGGCTGACAAGAATTTGTGGATCCATTTCTTCCAGGATAGTCTTTCAGGGACTCAACTCGAATGGTTCTATCAGCTGGATGGAGTCAGTATCCGTAACTGGGAGGATTTGGCTACTGCGTTTTACAAGCAGTATCAGTATAATTCCGACCTCGCTTCTACGCGTACCCAACTCCAGGGTATGTCACTAGGGACGGGTGAAGGATTTAAAGATTACGCTAAAAAATGGAGAGACCTAGCTGGAAGGGTGCAGCCACCTTTGACTGACTGTGAACTTGTGGATATGTTCTTGGGGACCCTGTCTGGTCCGTTCTTCAACCATTTGATTGGAAATTCTTCTGCCGGGTTTACAGACCTTATCTTGACTGGTGAGAGAATAGAAGCTGGTATCAATTCTGGGAAGATACAGAAGGATGCTTCCTCGAGCTCTAAAAAGAAACCATTCAAGAAGGAATCTAGTGCTGTATATGGTTCAAGGAGACAGAATAAACTGGAACGCCGCCAAGCTGTCAACGCGGTGGTAATCTCAAAGCCTACTGCTGCTCCTCAGCAATATAACCAACAAAGGGGTGAGAGACATAAAAGGCAGTTTACTCGACTCAGCATGACCTTGTCCCAGGTATTGCCGCAGTTA